ATAAAATACTAAAGAGATCAAAAATGTGAGTTATTTTCATCGAACAACACATTTTCTTACATACATACATAACATAGTGTGACAAATGTGTGTATATATATATATATAGTTAGCAATAAGATAATGCCTCATTATATAATCTCTATAGCATCCCTGTGCTGTCTAGTTCTGTGTGTTTGTTTATATGGCCTGGAAAGCTGGGCACGTGTAAGGAAGATTTTAACAAAAAAATACACCCAACTCCAAGAGTGCTGATATCTTCCATCAGCTAGTATGTAATTCGAAGGGATGTTTTTAAACACTTTTTTTTAAAACGCGACTTTATGGATTTAATTTTACATATGTGTAAAATTGCTCGTCGAGTAGTTATTTACTTTGTCGTGTTTAACTTTTTTTTTACATACAAATGCTAGGCAAACTTTCAAAATATTTCGCATTGCAAAAGTCGAGAGTGTAATCCAAGCGTTAAAATTTGATTGAAATCCTTTGAATAATTTCTAACCGTACTGCACTGCGTATCAAAAGAACACGCGCAAGATCGCGCCCGCCAACTCATGCGTAATCAAGTGGCTCGAGGCAAAAATATGAAGAAATATGTTCAATATGCTAGCTTGTTAGATCTGCCTCGGTACGAACCGTTAGCTGTGTGTGTTGTCAAAGAGTATGAAAAAATATCATGTTTTCATGGTGTGCAAATATGAAGCATTTTAACATGCCTGTCCTAAGGACATAAATCTTAGTCTGATTATTCAACATCTCAATCTGTTTTATTCGCTTCCAGAAATAATGGTGAGAAGGTTCTAATTATAAAAACACAATCACTTTAGATTTTAGTTTCTTTGAAGAAGTGATAAACAAAAGTATTTATAATTGTAATATGGAGACGGGGGGGAGGCAGAAGGACTAATTTACTCCCCAAAAAGTTACATTTTGTTTGTATGTTTGTAGTTAAGCACAAAGCTACACAATGGACTATCTGTGCTCTGCCCACCACGGGTATCGAAACCCGGTTGCTAACGTTGTAATTCCGCAGACATACCGCTGTGCCACTGGGGGTGGGGCAAAAGGTTAGACAAACCTGACAAAACTACCAGTTTTACGCTGTAACTGTACGTACTATTCAGCTCATATTCTTGTATTTTCACTTTAGAAAAACACGTAGGATTTGACCTTCCCCCCAAATAAAACCACAAATTATTTTGTTGATAACGTTATTCATTGTCTCAGTCTTTGTTTTTGTCATTTCAATTCATTAGCTGAAGTATGTATATATATATATTGTTTTCATTTTTCAAATACATATATATTGTTTTCATTTTTGCAGGTATTAAATTGAATTGTGCTGCTTTAGTTAACTTGAGAAGACCTAAGACTTTACTGTATAAAATAATTAGACATGTATATGAGGTGCATCATTAAGATGTCTTACTAGAATCATCTGTCAATGTTCCTATATGGCTCTAATCACATAACTACGATGTTGATAAAAATAATCTTATTATTGTTGTGTTTCTCTTGGGAAATAAGTTAAATTTATGAAAGAACTGAAACATAAATGGAAAACGTGAACAATGCGCAAAACTATTCTGATGTGATAATAATCTAAGAAAGTTAATTAGATCAACCTCGTTACAGGAATTTTTACCATTGCTATTCACAACAATAACGCTTAGCAGCAAGATCTAAACACATTACTTCTGGTACAAGGTGTTACCATTGTTATTCACAACAATAACAAGATCTAAACAGTTTACTTTTGGTACAAGGTGTTACCATTGTTATTCACAACAATAACAAGATCTAAACAGTTTACTTTTGGTACAAGGTGTTACCATTGTTATTCACAACAATAACAAGATCTAAACAGTTTACTTTTGGTACAAGGTGTTACCATTGTTATTCACAACAATAACAAGATCTAAACAGATTACTTCTGGTACAAGGTGTTACCATTGTTATTCACAATAATAACAAAATCTAAACAGATTACTTCTGGTAAAAGGGTCCGAGTATTAAATATCAAAAAAACTGCTTATTTGTATTTATTTCTTATGGAGTTATAAGAACCATTTGTTCCGGTTTAATAGACCTGCGCGACAGAATAGGTTTTCGTCACGAAAAATAACATTACGATATCTTATATGAAATCTAATTCCTATATAACAATTATGTACTATTACTATTACTAATACGCTGAAGAAGAATACTGATTTCTTTACCACGTATGTATCTTTTAATCAAACAATTTGATTAGGTATGTTTGGCTGAAATTACTGGATTTCTATTGTCTATTATTTTTTCGGAAAGATTGAAAAATATCATTCTTGCGTAATATATTTCAGATTCAATTGTTGTCATTGTTCCGAGTCTATGCGGTTATCTAAGTCTAATTATTAATCAGTGAGTAATTAAAAAGATAATAATTAGCCTTTCGTGATGGTATAGGCTACTAATGATGACAGTTATTGAGATCCGATCGCTACAACCTCACTTGATTTCGGGCTTACTTGATTTCGGGCTTACTAAATCTCTTTTAATTAAAACACACACACGAGTAGTGTTATGTGGTATAGTAATAGTTGTGACATAAGACGTTCTTTCATTATTTTAAATTCACATTCAAGCTTTTCCATCTGTCGTTCGATATTCTATTTTTGAAATTATTCGCTCTAGAATGAAATAAATCAGAAGGTGGCGTATGAAGTTTTAGGAAACTAACTCACTGAAATGTGTCTTCTTGAAGTCAGTGAAAAACTTTCATATCCAAAAAAATGTTTAAACTTAACCCAAATTTCTCTAAATAAATCAGCCTGTTCACAGCGAGCTCTAGAAAAACTGTTACATTTTAGCTGTTTGTCTTTCGAAAGAAGAGGACTACAAAACAGTAGCGAAAGATGAAAACAATAACTTTTGGTGAATTTGGAACACTATATTTTATGGCATTCATTCTCGTAAAAGTATTTTGTCAGTTAAAAAAAAATTAAAGCAGCAACGTTCTAAGACTTTTATGTTCAGCTTATACATATATAAAACCACTTCAGCCCACCTCTTGCCCAAGCCAGTCTCACACCTAACACGATTGTATTATACAGTTTTCGTGTTGTGGCAGAAATTGGATCATCAGAACTTTCCTGAAAGATTTAACAATTTACTGTTTCATTATTTTGTTTCGTATTATTGCTACAACGTCATTCATAAGAATGGCAAGATAATTTCTCAAATATATATATATATATATATACATTGACTCTGAACAACTATATAATCGGTTCATGGACGTCCCGAGGATTTTCTTAGGATAATTCGTTTCTGTTCTTGAGGCATCTTTCTTAGATATGTGAGTGTGTGTGTATATATATATATAAGTAAAACTGTACGTGATGTGATTATAACTCAATGATGCCCAAGTTATGTTGAAATAGATATTCATACATATTTTAAAAATAAGTTGAAAACTATTTTTCGTTCTTTAATTGAAGTCTAGGTATACGTCACAATTATGCATATGTAAATCTCTTCATAATAACTATTTTGTACCTTCTGTAATATAAGGTACGCGTACTGTCATTTAAAATCCTTCGGTTTAAGCGCTGTATGGAACCGTTTATGGAAATGAATAAATAGCCATAATCTTCTTAAGCGTATTTAGTTACCACAGCGTAAAAGAAAAACACAAAGGACTTATCATGGCCAGAACTTGATTTTACAGCACGGCATTTCCTTGGCCACTGTGGTCCTGAACGGTACGGTACTTGTTATTCAAATGGTACTGCTGACCGTTCAGTACGTTTGAATACGTAATGGTTGTATTAAGGATACTAGTGTTGCTTACAATTTGTAAGTAGATATGACGCCTCGTTGAAATAACGTTTATTTTTGGTCCAAACGGGGGTTCGTTCGCGCTCCATAACCCACCCACCGCTGGCGAAACCCCTGAATTTAGGAAGTATATCGGAAATAAATAAGTGCTCTGAAGATTCAACTTTAAGAAAAAAATCATAAGTATAAGTCATACTCTACGATATTTGCTCATTTGTTACAAAAATTAGATGTTTGCTTATTCGAAAATAAGGCAAATTATTCATATATGTGATACATTTTATATAATTTGTTGTAAAATATGTTTCTATTATATAATGAAATATAAACAAGTTGTTCTATTATATAATACGATATAAACAAGTTGTTCTGTTATATAATGAGATATAAACAAGTTGTTCTATTATAGAATGAGATATAAACAAGTTGTTCTATTATATAATACGATATAAACAAGTTGTTCTATTATATAATGAAATATAAACAAGTTGTTCTATTATATAATGAGATATAAACAAGTTGTTCTATTATATAATGAGATATAAACAAGTTGTTGTATTATAAAATACGATATAAACAAGTTGTTCTATTATATAATACGATATAAACATATCGTTATATTATATAATGAAATATAAACAAGTTGTTCTATTATATAATGAGATATAAACAAGTTGTTCTATTATATAATGAGATATAAACAAGTTGTTGTATTATATAATACGATATAAACAAGTTGTTCTATTATATAATACGATATAAACATATCGTTATATTATATAATGTAATATAAATAATGTGTTATATTATATAGCGTGATATTAATAATTAATCTAATATATAATGCTATTTTACGAAAGTAATACTGATGCAGTTTTACATAATTTCGAATAAATGTTTTCTTTGTTTTTGTTAGTTTGATGTTAACCACAAAACTACATTATGGGCTATCTGCACTATTCTTACCACGGGTATCGAAATCAGGTTTTTAGCGTCATAAGACCTCAAACTTATTGCTAAGCCACTGGAGGGGGTGAGTGGGGGACTCAAGTAACTGCAATAAGTAATGTCAAGGGAACAAGTAAATCAAACTTATAACCGAAACTAATGGAGTTGTAACAATCTGGTATAACAGAAAAGAAAACTAAACAATAATTTTAATACATTTTAAAATTACTTACGCGTGTTTCCAGCCCAGGTTTGACGAACGAACTGCAGTAGCCTTTGGTAAAAGGAGAAAATTGAAAATACCGCCCCCATCGGACACCAGACGTGAAGCTGGTCGTGTTGGAACTCGTTCAAGGTGTTCTTGGGATCACAGAAACCATATTTGTCTCTCTGGTCCACCTCAGTCATCTAGTTATGGATCTGCCACTTGAAAATGTCCTGTTGAATCCCGCCAACAATGGTTGGGCGGGATAAGAGCTACGTGAAAATCCATTATTGACTTTTTTTTTTACCAAGCATTTTTCATGTGTTAATGAAAAAATGTTCAGCAAAATCTTTTACGTTGTTTCCAAAAGAATAAACTGGATATCGCATGAATTTTGAGAATTAATTGAACTTATCACAGCCTCCTGCCCAAATAATTAGATATGCTGAACAAAATAAGTTGTTTAAAATAATTACAGAAAGTTTATTCAACATTTATACAAATATAAAGCAAAATTTACAAAATGCTAACTAGACTTACTTAGCCTAAATAATAACAAAGTCAGTGAATGCTGCTTTTTAAATATGAACCCAATCATTAAACAAAGATACACAGAAGCCAGGTTGAACATTACGTTTATCTAATGTGTTTGGTAATGATAATGAAAATTAAGTTTGAATAATTCTACAACACAGAGCTACGCTAAATGACATTTAATACTGTTTACGTTACCTTGAAAGATTTCTCTCTAATTCTTCATAGTTGTCTAAAACAATATTTTTACACTTCAATGCAAAACTTACCCCCTTCGTTCAAAAAATCCGTGAAAGACAAAAATGAATATTTAATATAAAAACTAAAGAAAATACAAACTTGTGTAACACCGGCTGAGTTATGATATTTTATCAGTGAAGAATTTGGCTTTATGTGAATGATTTTTTTTAAATATCTAATCTTTCAAAAAGACGATCTTTCATTTTCACACATACTAAAAAGGAAACAAATGTTGGCATATCTAAACGAATACCTTCACTATTCAAAGTTATCTCAACTTATTCATTTTAATCTGTATTTTTACAGGATTATCTTCCCTTGACGTCCTTTTTTCACTTATCATGCTTTAAAAAAGAATGTATGAAGAGTAAAAATTATCACAAATGAGCTATATATATATATTATTTTTATATTCAAAGAACTAATCATTCTCCATCAGCTCGAGCACTTTAATGGGACCTCATTCATGACCCAGCGGCAAAAATCATAAAAAATAATCTAAATCAAAAAGATAAAATGCAGTTCATTTTTTGTCTTCGGTAAACTTTAAAAGTATTGCCCTGCAAACGGTTTATTCACTGGCTCAGTTGCAATTGATGAATCAATGAAATTCGTAACCGGTTACTTTTAACTGAGATTTAATGTTAACAATCAGTATTGAGTTTTGGAGTTGATAACACAGGCCGGCGAATTTAAACTTCATAAAAGTTGTTTTCATTTTAATAACAGATTTTCCATAGTTCAGCTACGCAGATATCGAGAATAATATTCATTTTTCTCTATCACATAAGGAGTTTCTACAAATCGGGAACATCTTACTTAGATCAAATTATTATTTCGTTTACCACAATGAACACTTTTTATTATTATGTTCGTTAACAAAAATACAAACAAAGTGAAGAAAAGGGAAGAACAATGATGTCAAACGAATATGCATCCTCGTTCATCCTGATTTTTTTCTGTGAAATCTACGTCTTTTAGTCTCAAAACTACGTTTTGTGGTTTTCTTTTATGTATTGCGCTATGATGTTTTGTGAAAAATCTATACGTGATGGAGAAAAATGGATGTCATTTTCGGATTCAGCCTACAAGAATTACTGTAGAATATGCAAACATTTTAAGACAATAAAGCCATCGCAGGCCTGTGTAACCAATATCGAGATTTAGTGTTAATAATAAATACGGGGATTTAAAATTAAAAGCTATATTTATTTTCGATATTCAGAACAAACGCATGTTTGCTGTAAGCACTTTAAATAGTTTTTACCACGTGATTTTATTTTAGCGTCACTCAGAGAAACACGTTATTCAGGTGACATTATATGAATAAACGACCTTCTAATATTTCTTTGCTTGATAAGCATAAAACTACACAATGGGCTTCCTGTGTTATGCCCACCACGGGTATTGAAACCCGTTTTTAGCGTTATAATCCTTCAGACTTACCGCTGAACCACTGAATGAGGGGTCCCCTTTAATGAATGAACCTGACTAGTTCTATCAACACATTTACGAAATTAAACAAAGATGGTTAATTCAAAGTGTAAATATATTATACTAGTAGCTAATTCAATATGTTTTACAGTAGGCGTGTTTGTCTATTTTTTTTGTTGTTGTTGTTGTTAAGCGCAAAACTACACAATGGGCTATTTGTGCTCTGTCCACTGCGGTATTGAAACTCGATTTTGAGCGCTATAAACCCTCAGAAATACCGCTGAGCCACAACGGGGGAAGGGGCTTTTACAGAATTATTAAAACTACATTAAGAAATAGACAATATATCAAGTCATGCATCGTTACTTGAAGGCCATGTTTATAGACTTTTAACTGCGTAAACTGCAACACATGTGTATGTGTATATATAATAAATGATTTTGTTTTCAATGATTGGTTTAACTAATCTATTTTAGAATCAAGCGCCACCACAGGTAAACATATCGAAGATTTTCCCATGAACTATATTGACTGTGTTAGTACTGAAACTAAAAGTTAACAATATTTCTAGAATTAAATACCATGTTGGTATGAAATCTTTCTTCCTGCGAGTTAAACCAAGTTACGACAGTGCAAGATGTGCGAAAAACCTTAAATATTTTTTTCTTGCGGATATTCTACTAGACATTAAGACAGGCTTTAGAAAGCACTATGAGGCTAGCCTTCATTGAGTTCGATTTTTTTCGTATCTTTTACTTAGTTTCATTGTATTCAAAACGTGACTGAACATAAAGTCTGCCACTATTCAAATGTCCGAAATTAATAACAATCCAAAGCCTATGTTCCTTTACTTTCCCATCTCCATGTTTCCTCCTTTATCGAATTTCTATTCTCCCATTCGATTTACGCACACAGATCGAGATTACTGACAAAAGTGGCTTGTTCGTTGATGGAACTTATCTAACGAAAAATTAGCAATGATTTCATTGTAGCAGAGAGAGGGCGCTGCACGTGGTAGTAAATATACAGCCAATTAAGGCCAACCGTAACTGTTTTAAATCTAGCCATATATTATTTTATTCTTTGTACGTTAAGCATAGGCTTTGAATAATCAAATGAAATTTCACATATTTTTAAAATTTACTTATTAATATGTAAAAAAAGGTACATTTACGAAAATATATTGCTTTCAAAGAAATACGTTTACAAAAATAAATGTAATGACAAATTTTTGTTACGGCTACAACTTAATTTTTAACCATATGAGGTTTTTACAGAAGCTTGTTAGAATTCTACAATGAATAATGATTGTGTTTTAAATATCACGAAATGTATATTTATTTTTATTCACAAAAAGACTTCACTGTGATATTGTAGTTAATATATATATACATATTTAAAACACCATTATATGACTTCAGTGCGGTATTGTAGTTAAATATTTATACTTATTCAGAACAGCATTATAGGACTTCACTGCGGTATTGTAGTTAAATATTTATACTTATTCAGAACAGCATTATAGGACTTCACTGCGGTATTGTAGTTAAATATTTATACTTATTCAGAACAGCATTATAGGACTTCACTGCGATATTGTAGTTAAAATATTTATACTTATTAAGAGCACTATTATAGGACTTCACTGCGATATTGTAATCGAATATTTATACTGATTCAGAACAGCATTATAGGACTTCACTGCGATATTGTAGTTGAATATTTATACTGATTCAGAACAGCATTATAGGACTTCACTGCGATATTGTAGTTAAAATATTTATACTTATTAATAGCACTATTATAGGACTTCACTGTGGTATTGTAATTAAAATATTTATACTTATTCGTAACAATATTTAGAGGTTCCAGAATAATATTTTTCATAGAATATTTATACTTATTCACGACTACATGATATGAAATGTCACTGTTATACTATACTTCGAATATTTATACGCTGTATTATAAATAATAATGGGGGCAATGGGGAAAACGGGGATAAAAGGCAAATACTGGTAGCCACTGGGTTTGTATTTACTTTGGTAGATATGAGAAAGGAGAATATTTTGATCCATTAGGACTGTCTCCACATAATCTCAACATTAGAAACTCATCAAGAAGAACTGTCGAACTTACAACAAGAAAGTACTGAAAGAACGTATTCGTCTGTGTGTGTGTGAGTGAACAATAGCGTATATATTATACTTCTTATTGTTGTCGACATGTGTCCAATAAAGTTCAGTCCTCAAAGATTTATGAAAAATAGTAAGTGTTGTTATTCTATAATAGTGATTGATCACATTTATTATGTAGCCAAATGATTTACTACAGAGTTTGTTAACTAGATGTTAAATTAAAGTTAGTGAAACATTCGTTATATGTGTATAGAAAGTTTGTTGCTCATGTGTTTTGAAGTTAGATAGACTGATCAGGTCACAATGAGTCAGAGTGAAATGTTTCCGTGGTGTTAATGAACCACAGATGGAAATTAAAAGAACGTCTATATGCTGCATACTGTCCTACGGAATCATAGAAACATCTTTATTAAATGTACGTTGAAATATGTATACAATCTTTAGTAATATTTGTAAAATACATGTAATACAGATAAATATATATATATAATTGAAAAGAAAAACTTAAGTTGTGATCCCATGCAAATAATGAATAACAGCAGTTTTTTAATAACCTACGGACAATAAGATTGTCGTTAAAATAATGGTATTAACAGGATTCAGTCTAGACATTGATGACGTAATTATATGTGGAAGTACAGTTTCCACCATTGTAAAACTCGTGTAAGATAGAACTATAAAGAATGATGTGTAAAATGAAATATTTTGTCAAGTTGTATGGATAGCATAAAGTCAAACAAGTGACATAGAATATCACAAATCATTGCATGATATTTGAATAAACGTCTTTTTTAGGGCAATTTACGTATAAATGATCAAGGGATGTAATTAAATAAAGAACTAATGAATTAGTGTTTTATACCGATTTTATTCAATCTAGCCATGTTTAAACACGTTGATACATGCCGTCGACGTCACTGTTTCTG